TGCTTAAAAATGTTTTCCGGTTAACTAAGTTCTGTGTTATTTTTATTTCTCTAAAGTACAGTGTGAATTGTTCTTCGGTTTATTCAAGCAGTCCTTACGCAGTAGATCGTGAGTTCAGTGTTTGCCTTTTTCAGCTTATCAGGCTTTAAAAGCTCTGATATGCGTAACTACAAATAAATATTAAAATACAAAGTAATCATGGTATTATGTCAGTGGGTTAGTTAGACTGCGCATATAAATTGTGCAATTAGTCATAATAATAATTCTATCATTAACAAGGTTGGAAAAGTAAGGCGATTTGTGACATTCTTGTTAGCACAGAGATGATTAGTAAAGATTTTGTCAACTATCGAACTCTAGCACCTTGAGGATCCCAGATGGACAGCTATATACATGGTTCAAATCAAAGTCTTCGTGGATTATTATCTTTTTTTGTCTGGACATCTAAGTCTATTTCAGCTAACATTACTCATAAAAGAGTGTATCACGTGTCCTAGCCACTTAAACTGACGAGGTTTCAAAACCCTGTCATTTGGTTTTTGCTTCTGCTTGTCACTACTCCTATCCTGATTATTATTGATCATGTCGCTCCATCTATGGTCAAAAACCGTGAATCTTTTCAAATTTTGTGCCTTCAACGATCATATCGCACAAGCATGATGTAGAACAAAGCGTTGGCATGTACTAATGGAACAGCTTTTGGATTTCACAATGGACTGATATCAGTTAAAGAGAATCGTTAGAAAACAAGCGGGGAGTACTGAACAGCTGTTCCGTTCGCGAATTTCGCGACTCTTCATCAGTACACACCCACTGAGGCTCGAACCCATGATCTTCTGGTTACATGATGAAATCCTGAAACCAATCAAATACATGTAAAGCAACAGTTGAATAGTTTTTGTTCGTGATAAGATTGCGTTAGCAAGTAGTTTAGCCTCCCCAATGAATAAACTGGTCAGGATATCAGAATATTTCATTCGCTATCCAGAAAACCAGCCCATTCCTTCTACTCATTTCTGTGTTTAAATATATGATGGATTGCATAATTTTACATGCTAGGTTGTAAGTCACCTAAAATGTGAGTACTTTTTGGAGTTACTTGAGTAAAGTAAGAGTAGAGTTTGAAAAGCTATTAAAGTAATGATCAAATGATATACGAATAGAACTAGGACATTGTGTTAGATAGAGTATACTCTCATTGTGTAGACTATTTTTATAAAGTCTCACAGCGTTATACAGCAATATTTACTGATGACATTTCGAGCACAAATTTATTATTTTATTTTATTAATTATATCGAGTTATTCACATAACTTTCTAATTTTGTTTATATAATTCCATTATTTCCCATCACTATTTGGTTGGTAGTAGTATTTTCCACATTCTCTGGTATTGGTAATGAGTTATTCGTACTGCATGTGTAGGGTGTAGATTATTCGATGAAGAAAGGTTCTCTCTCTCGCTCTTCCAACCTGCCTATATTACCTTTTGGAATTGTAACTGTCTCCCGCCATATTGTGTGGTTGTGTGTTGATGCATGCAGTTCGATTGCTGAGTTTGTTTTCTAAATGACTTATCTTCGTGGAGTCAATCATTCTAACCTTAGCTAAATTCTTATGTTCTGAGAATCTGACTACCATTTACCTACTAGTCTGACCTATGTAGTTGACCTCACTCACAGTAATTGCAGGGTATTTTGTAAATTATATTATTTTGTTTAATTGGGTCAACCTACAGGTTCCTTTAGCCTACAGAGCTTGTCCTACCTGAGTGAGTTTGTAGGCTTAAGTGCCACGCTAATTCTGATTTGATTATTGATTACAGCTTGATTCCACACTGTATTTTTGGTACAAGTATGGAATTTTCAGCATGGATATCGGTAGCCCAAATTTTGCAGGCCGACCATAGATATCAGGTGTGCGCCGGCGTGGCTCGAACCCCGGACCATGTGCATGGTCGCGAGAGTCCTAACCACTGTGCCACCGACGCACTGCTTTCTTAACAGTCTTTGTAATCAAATGTCTTAGTTATAAAGCCACAGCCTTGTTACACATATCGCCTTCCTTGTCGGTTAGTTTGAACTTACATTGGATTGAATTGATGAAAAAGAATTAAGAGTGGCCAAATCAAAACATAGTTTCTTTCCATGTAGTCGTTAACTGTTGGTTTGGTTCAGCCACGTAGAAATGTGTAGACTGCCTTTTTGGAGTTACTGTGGGCGATAAGAACCAGAAGTGCGAGCCTCTTGATCGCAACAGCCCATTGTCCTTTGGATTACTTTATGTGTGAGGTTTAAGAAGTTTGTCAACTTGAAGCACTGCATTACGCTAAAAACTCACTCAGTAAGAGCCCCCTTATTATTATTATTCCTTACAGAACTCAAAATGAAAATAACCTGTTATGATAGCTTTGAACATATTTCGTCATTTGTTTTGTGCAATTGTTTATGCAAATGACAGCTGTCTGCTTGTTAAATCTTTGACTAAGAATCTGAATACCCTAGCAGTACTTATTTTTATGTTTATTTCGAAAAAGTTTTAAAAGTTGCAAGTAAAGTGATATTTTGATTAGAGAACGATTTCTTTCGCATGAATCCTGTAATGTATACGTGCATGACACTTTCTGAACAATCTGATCAGAAACACGTACCTGTTATATATATATATATATATATATATATATATATATAAATTTTGATGGCAATATTATGGGTTGAAAATTGAAATAAAGATCAATAAGGCGAAAAGGGTTAATATAAAAATAATTATTTTTGGTTTTGCAACACAGTTTACCAAGAAATTATTACTATTCATGGCTTAAACATCCTGATCGCTAAATCTTCCACCAAACCATAAGACGTTTTATAGATTAGTGTACAGAATTTCGATACTGAGACCACCGTTTGTGGAACATAGACGTCTATTTCAACCGGGGTACTCAGATTACTTCTGAAGCTATTTGGGTTCGGCTTCTGTGGCGCTTATTTGTGTAGACCGAAGTGTGTTTAACCACGCGTATATGTGTATTGATAATTACAAGGGGATGTTAAGTTGGATCATCATTAGCTGACATTATTTTGCGAACCACTAAAAGCCACCGTAGTCCTTGACGGACACCGCTAATCGTCATCAGTTCAGATGACAACTCGCCGTAAGCCGTCACCTGGCTGTATGAGTACGAGTAGAGTGCCTTAATCAGTGCAATGTATTTCCTCGGAATTCGCTTTACAGCCAAGCGTCTCCAGAGAACTTCTCGGTCGACAGAGTCGAATGCCGCCTTTAGGTCAAGAAATATAATGACTGTTGGACGCCGGTAGGAATGCCTATGTTCTAGAATCTGTTGGAGGGTGAAGATATGATCAATACACCCTCTTCCTGGTCTAAAGCCTGCCTGGCTCTCTCGTGTTTGTGCCTCCCGAGCACCACTCAGTCTACGCATGATTATTGAGCCTAGGACTTTAGATACTATATTAGTCAAGCTAATCCCTCTGTGATTATCACAGGAAGACTTGTCTCCCTTCTTGTATATGGGGATAATCAGTGACTTACACCAACCCGATGGGACTTCTTCTAATTCCTAGATGCTGCCTAGTACCTCAATTAATCCGGACAGTAAACTGTCTCCACCGTACTTAAATACCTCTGGAGTCATTCCATCAGGTCCCGCTGCTTTGCCTAGTTTCAGATTGGTGACAGCTTTAGTAACCTCATTTAGGGAAGGGGGATCTGCGTCTATATCCCATTCAGGGAGGTGTTGGATGTTAGGCACGTTGAGCGTGGCTGTGGGCCAATTAAACTGCTCCTCATAGTGCTATTTCCAGCGATTCAGTCGTCTATCCTGGGAGCTAATTATAGTGCCATTTTTTTCCGAGATTATTTCACTAATGATTTGTCTTCTCCCACCCGTTTCCCTGATGAGTCAAAAGAGTTGCCTGGTGTTGCCTATCCTCGAAGCTTTTTCCATCTCTTTGGCTTTTGTCGCCCACCACTGTTCACGGTCCTTGCGGAGACTTTTCGTAAGTTTCCTCTTGTGCAGCCTTCGCTCCTCATTGAATTCGGAGCTCGCCGGAATAAGTCTTCTAGCATCTATCAGTTCGGATGAGGCGGTGGGGATCCAGTGGTTTTTACTCACCTTTGGGTTTAACTTATTCACAGCTTTTACAGCTGTATTTATGGTTGCCTGAATATTCTTCCAAGCTTCTTCAGGGTGAGCACAGCTGTCGAACACAGATATGTGTTTAGCTAGTTCTTCCTCAAATAGGGATTTAGTTTCCTGATCGAGGTGGTGGTTTTTTGGCTTCCATCGTTTTAAGTGGACGCATAGTGGAGAGGAAGTGAAGAGCTATCAAACCGAGGAGTTGCATCAGTGGAAGGAAGGCAAGATGGTAGAGATTAAGATGAAGACGAAGATGAGTGAGTAATAGAGAGGTTTCGCGTGCGTTTTGGATTGTGAGGGCGATTGGTACTTCCCGGCTGCCCACACTGTGGAAGTTGGTTGCGTGACTGCAGAGCCCAGGGGACAACTGCTTGGGGCCGGTCACACGCAACCTGTTTTTGTTTGTTCTTTATTGTTTTGTGTGTCTCAGTAGCAGATTTATCACTCCTGCCTTGTGACATGGCAGCAGGAAGCGCGGTCGTTGTTAATTCGGGCCACGGCCGATCCGGCATGAAATTTTGTGGTTTTCTATGTATCATTATGTTGGATTGGGTAGCTGCTTTTTGTTAAACCGATATCCAAACAACCTGCCTGGCATGGTAGGACCTCTTGACATCTGTTTCATTCCAGTGTACAACTCTTTAGCTGCATTTCATATGTTGTTAATAAGGATCATTGGATGAATTTCATTCGTTACCTACTTTAATGGCTTAAGAGTGTTCAGACTTCAGCTACCCGATGATAGGTTACGTATTAACATTGTTTAGTCGAAATTCATAAATGAAAGCAATGTTTTTCAATTATTTATGATTAGTCTTTTAATCACTCTGTATTTTCTGTTTCAGATATTATCGTGCCCCTGAGTTATTATTCGGAGCACAGTACTACTCGTGTGCGATAGATACTTGGAGTGGTGGTTGTGTATTAGCTGAAATGTTGCGCCAGCACTGTCTATTTATGGGAGCTGATTCAGTAGACCAACTAGTTAAAGTGATTCGTGTTTTAGGAACTCCTACAGCACAAGATATTGCCAGTATGAATCCAATGTACGGGTCCTACAATTTTCCAGATGTTCAATCCTGTCCTGTAAAGTTATTTTTCCCACAACATACTCCAGCGGATTTATTGGCTTTAATGAGCAAAATGCTTGTGTATAATCCATCCTTAAGAATTTTACCATCTCAAGCGCTTTCTGAGCCTTGCTTTGATGAACTTCGTTCCATTGGTCCACATGGTGTACTTCCTAATCGAGTTCGTATGCCACCTCGTATATTCGAGCCTGATCCTGAGCCTAATCCGTCCACTTCAACTTCAGATGCAACAAATCCATCAGCTTATAATTGTTGGTTACCCGATCATCATCATAGACACGGTACATCCAACAAAAAGTCTGTTACCAGTGTTGGCGATCCATCTGCATCCGATAAGAAGGGAGCAAAGTCATCATCATCCAACTTCCGAGAGATTCCTGGAGATTCGCAAAGAAAAGGTACTTTTTTAATGATCAAGTAGTAGACTGTCTTCATATACTGATTTGTGTAAAAACCTTCTTCAAAAGTCTTTACATTAAACGTTTCTATGTAACGTGTGTTTTATTCAAGTTCAGTTTTTGTTTGGCCATACAATATGCACCTATAACTTGCAAAATATAGTGATATATATATATTTTTATGACCTTGAGGTTGTTACGCTCAATTAACTCACTGGCTAGTGTAATCTAATATGTACTTGTTCGAAAAAACAACACGAAGTACATAAGGTTTTATAACTAAATGTACAGTTTACTACCTCAGTGAATCACATAGTAGATAATTAAGATTATGGCTCATCAACGATTGGCATAAGCAATTGATTTCTTCGAGTCCTTCACCAGCTAAGTCGTACAGTCACCCCTTTCATACACACACACGAATTAAGTGTGGATCTTAGTCTGGTATTGGCGATATAGTCCTTCTAGGCGAGGACGCTGACAAAATCCAGCAGAGTCTTCTGAACACCTTGAGCTGCAATCTACGAATGTTTGGCATGCGATCCGCTCCCGCCAAATGCAAGATGATGTTACAGGACTGTATTACACTGCCTCCTAGTTTAGAAATAGGAAGTGAAGTGGTAGAGCACGTTGACCGCTTCACTTATTTGGGAAGTACCATCAGCCAGTGCCAACGGTTTGATCTCTGTCGAAATCTCAGCACGAATACAAGGGGCTCGTTTCGCATTTGCCAGTTTACGCCGTCTCTGGCGTAGACGTGATATTCGGCTAGCTATCGACCAAAGAACGGGTCTACTGCTCATCAGTCCGCTCCGTCCTCGTTTATGGCGAGCTGTGAGACCTGGCCATTGAGAGTGGAAGAATCATAGGTGTCTGCGTTCTATCTTCCTTGTGATGTGGTATAATAGGGTGAGCAATATTGAGGTTATGCATCAGTCGAGTTCTAGGTAAACAGGCGAAATCAATCGACGAAGTGGTGAAGTTACAAAGACTGAGATGGTTAGGACATGTGTTACGTATGCGTAGTCATCGCCTTCCTCGACAACAAGCAATGTTAGTTGATATACGGTCAGGCTGGAAAAGAGCTAGCGGCGGCCAAACCAAAACATGGCTTCACAAGTCAATGAAATCCACAACAGTTAGTTTAAGCCAGCCACGTAGGTAGATGTAGACTACTTAACTGGGTTGGTTGGGGTCTTCGAGATGGTGAAAACCAATGAAGTCTAGAGACAATAGGTGATATGGCTCAAAATCATCGTTCTCAATGGCTGGCTAGCGCAGATGCATCCACTCCTTGTGACTTTTAATTTCCACTGAAACTATATTGTTCTTCGTCATTACTATTCTTTTGTCTCACACCTCTGTTTACTGTCTCTCTTATGCATTTCTTCTACCTTCTTTTCTTGCTTTGTGTGCTACACGGAGTGTGGCGACTTGAACTTTCGCACATTTGTGCAAAGTTCTATGTCGAAAACAGACAGACAGACAGTCTGGTATCATATATAGAGAATCTGTTCCTGGGTAATATTTTAATTGATGGTGTAGCCATTGGGCTTTTCCCAATGAGCAAGAAGTATAAATTTCAGTAGTTTTGGCATTTGTACACTTAATTTAAGTATTTATGCTTTCGCATATAGCATATTGCTTTAGCTGTTTTGCAATTACCTACTATTATTACTATCTCACTACAACCTAATTTCTGGTTCAGTTTTACTGGACATGGGTTTTTATTGCTAATTCTATTTAGCAATATCAATTAATGTAGAGTATGTACACCTACTCATACTTGTGTAGGTTGTTCTAACTCTCACACGTACACATGTGATGAAAGCGTTGTAAGCAGGGGGATGAAAAAAACTAACATGACAAACACAACTGGTTTGGTTTGTAAGGGTAAGTTATGTTTTTACGAGTTGATCACGGATTGATATCAGTTAGAGAACCATTGAAAACCAGCACTGGAGTACTGGACAGCTGCTGTTTCATCCTAGTTTGGGAATCATCATCAGTACGCACCCACTGCCAGGATTCGAACCCAGGACATTCCCGTTACAAGGCCAGCAAGCTCGTATACCACTCAGCCGCTGAGACCCGATTCAATGGCCAATCCATGAATTCTAACTTCTACCAATTCGTGATTAGCGAGACCCCAACCATTGTCGTTGGTGGGACATCCATGCACACACGTGACATCTAATTAGACCTCACTGGTCACGACTTCTCACTAGAACTCAGGAAACTCCAACCTGTAGTAAGTCACTAGCGAGCATCACATTAATTTTCTATAGTTTGGTTTGTAAGGATTAGTTACTGCCGATGATTCCCGAACTAGGATGAAACAGCAGCTGTCCAGTACTCCCTGGTTTTCAATGGTTCTCTGACTGATATCAATCCGTGATCAACCGTAAAAAAGTACAACTGGGCTGGGTTTTCAGCAATATCTATAATGATTGAGTTCTCTATTACATAATTAGCCCACTACAAGCAAGTTTACACACACTACATTCACAATTAGTATTTTCATGATACTGTATTGCTTTCTAGCTTTAGTTATCTTTAACTTTCTTTCAATGTAATCCTAACTTTCATGGAAATTTCGCATTATAGGCTATAATGAGTAGATATATGCGTGTAAAACATCCTAAGCATCTTAGTGATTCATGTTTCATATAGAAAAAAGTCCCTATTTAGACATTTAGAAAACAGAAAGATTGAGCGAAGAGATATTTACTTTTCAATTAGATCCTCATCTCTGGCTCTACTCTAATATATTGCGTATAACATTTTTATTACAATACACAACAGTTTACCAATCAAGTGGCACTGATATGTTTGTTGGCAATAATTAAACAGTGTCAAAGTGTCAATGGGTTGATAGTTATCGAAGAAAATCCATACACACATTTAAAAGGTAGAAATGGTTAGAATAAATTAATTTTACAAGGATAACACATAAATTAAAGATGAAGTGGTCAGAATAAATAAAAAAATAAAATAATTTGGACAATTATAATTTTTAAATGTTTAGGGGGAGGGGGCGAAGTAGTCCGGTTTATACATTCATGTAACAATGGCCAAGGTATGGAAAGTGGCTGTACAAATTTCTTCTGAACACACAGGTTTGGCTTCTTCAGGTGGATTCCTATTGCTTCAGCTGTATGTAGAAGACGAACTCACAGAGCAAAATTAAGATTAGTAGGAGTGCGATAAATATAATTTTAAATGCTGTATTAACGTCAACCTTATGCTCAGTATCTACAAGGTGTGCTAAAATAGAGCTAGTTACGAATAGATCTTGTTTGTCCCTTGCTTAACCATGTTGGATGATGTTCGGAAATACGACGATGAACCTGTCTAATTGTACGCCCAATGTAGCTGGCTCCGCAGCTGCAATCAACCTGGTAGATACACATAGTGAATCATGTTTCATAGTCAGCATTAATGCATTTGACTCTTTGCCACTAGATATCATGCGTATTTCTCTATTGCTCATTTAACAAATTGAATCAGACAAAAAGGCCCTAGATGATAAGATGTGTCGATTGCTCAGTTGACAGAATCCACGACAGTAACTGTGGAGGAGGGAGGTGTCCGGGTTCGAACCGTGGGACTGACGCTCTTTGAAACCTTGCTTAGTTGATAGTAAACATGGAAAAAATAGGCGTGTAAGGCTACCAATCTAATTATGTAAAAAACAACAGCATCGCTACTGTAACCTTAAAAAAGCTTGAAGTTGTTCTGTGTTCTACTGAGAATGAATGAGAATCGAATGTGCTTATCAGTATCTCAAATTTACTGGTTTGTGTAAAAGAGCAACGCACCCTATATTTCGTGTTCCTAAATGACCTGTTGAGAGTCAAAGTAACCTTGTGTATTTACTTTCTTTTTGAAACTTCATCTGTCAACGTTATCATTCCTTCTTAAAATGTTACATAATACTTGGAAGAAATCCTCTTTTGTAGTTGGCGTAAACATGGGTTATATAAACTGTGTATGTATCAGTCAAATATTCCGTGGTCACAGCACAGTAAATATTCTTGACATTTATTCGTCGGTAATGAATTGTACTCTTTTGTTTTTATCCTCAAACTAATTTATATCATAGATACTAAAAGTTGACAGTCATTCTTGAACCAATCAAGGTTCACGAGAGAGAGAGAGAGAGGGAGCAACCCTTGACATAAATATATGTTTTTCAGTCCTGTACGTTCTTTGGGGGGGGGGGAACCATATAGCTTCACACATGCGTGATGCCTTGAAGTTTAAATAGTGATGATTTTGTTTACACAAGATGAGTGTGTTAGGCTTGTAACAACAGAAGACATGGGCCGGCAACAGATCGTTTTATTACGGGAATCAACACGTATTTGTATATATTTCACATACATTATTATAGCTTATTCAAGTAGACAAACGCAGGCTTCTGATTGGTTGTTTTCGGGTAACCATCGAAAAGTGGAGCCATCTATCTGCGAATCATATTTGCCCACGTTTAAGTTTGCTGTGATTGGTTGTTGAATCAGTCTTGTTCATATTTTCCCGCGGCCAATATTAGTGACCTAGCCATTGACGTAGATTAATGTCTACCAATTGGCTAGCAGCCTGCTCTCACCACAGGCTCACACCTGCAAACCTCTTTTTCTGGCGAGGTTCAGAAATACATTTACGGGGAATAGAACTTCAGAACATGACTGACTGGTTACAAAGTACAGCTTTGAACAGATGTGCAACAGTTCGAGTTGCCACTCTCCCTCCTTGTAGCACACAAATCAAGAGAACAGAGTAAAGATTCAAAAGAGGGAGAGAGAGATAACAAACAGAAGTGCGAGTGAGGGAAAAAGAATAGTAAAGTGGAAGAACAGCAGAGTTTTATTGGATATGATAAAACACAAAGAGTGAATGCATCTGTCCCAGCCATCACCGAGAACGATTTTGAACTAGTCATATCACCAATTGCCACCAGCCTTCATTGGTTCTTACCATCTCCACGACCAGGACGCCAACCAATCTACACTTCCCTACGTGGCTGACTGGCTTAAACTATCTAACTATTGTGTATTTCATTGACTGAAGAAGTCATATTCTCCCTTGACCACGACCACCACTGGCTTTCTCTTTACCAACCTGATCCATCCTGTCAGTCAGCTAGCATTGCCTGCCATCGAGGAAGGTGATCAATGGCTAGGCTAGGTTAGGTTAGACATGCGTAACAAATGTTCTAACCATATCTCTCAATCGATTCAACTGTTTCACAACTTCGTCGATTGATTTCCCTTCCTTGCCTGCCGCCACCTAGCACTCGACCGGAGCCTAACCTCAAAATATCGCTCACTCCATTATACCACCACATCACATGTGGGAGATGGAACTCCGGCACCTATGGTGAAAGACATCTAGCTAGATGGTATCATTCATGTCTTTCACTCTCAGTGACTGAGTCTTGTTCAGATGGCCGTGTGAACTACTGAGCAATGCACACATCCTTTGATCGGTGACCAGGCGAATATTACGTTTAGTAAACTAGAGACGGAGTAAGTTGTATGTCAAATGAGCCTTCTGTATCAGAACTGAAATTTCGTCAACGATCAACCGACTGACCTTATCTTATTGAACTCCCTAAAGAAGTGAAGTGGTTAAGAAGTTAAGCCAGCCGGCACTTCGCTGCAGTCTTTGTTGTAGCTAGGAGTGAGGTGATGTAGTTCAGGCCTGTAGTAGCATCACTATTGTACGTGTGACGGGTGCGAATCACATCGCATAACATTCATAGATTGCTGCTCAGACCGTGGACATGATTGGCGCAAGCCTTCTATCACCTACACAATATAAATACAGACTATTTATTGTTAATACTATTGTTATTATTATTACTCATTTCTTGTATCTTTTAATTAAAATTCAAAAAAATAAGTATTGATTTGTTGATTCATATTCACTTAATGTAGGCCGACCGACAACAGGATCAAATTCATCGGAGAAGTGTACAAGTGGTACAAGTAATAACAATAATACACATGCCAATTCTGAGACTAAATCTACTACTGAAATAGGCAATCCCGCAAATGGTGTAAATAATGATTTAACAACAACAAGTAAACAATCTCACTTACAACAACAACATAGTCGAACAAATAATTTAATGATGAAAGGTACCATGGATACATCCTCGGCAACAGTTCCAACGACGACAGATATTTCTACATGTCAAACAGAAAATCAAGATACTTGTTGTAATGATGATGATGATGATGATGAAAGTTCACCTGGAAATGTTCATCTAAAATCATTTGTGCCTACATCATCTGAACGAACAAATCTTAATGAGGTGCGTTGAAAAATCCCGTCTCTCTCTTTTTTCTAAAAACAAGAATTCTTCTTATTCTCATTCAAAATTTTTTGCCAACAAAGACACAAACAGTTCCGTCCTTCGTGCCCTCCTCCCCCCCCTGCCCTGCCGTCCTCTTCAGGAAAAGAAAAGAAAAGAAAACTATTCACATTTTCAGTGTGTAATTTGAAGTAATAATCAAGGTGAATACTACTACTACTACTAATAATAATAATAATAATAATGATAATAATAATAATAAAGTGAAAGGCAATACAAAAACTGCTTTTTTACTTTAACACTTTATATATATGTAATAGTTGGTTGATGTCTCATTCCTATGGTGCATCTTTTTATTGTTTTTTCCTGCATCTATCTTAGTCACAATGTGTACCATCCATCCGTCCATCCATCCATGCATATGATTACCTCTCATTTACTGCTATTATTATTATTATTATTATTACCATTGTCTTTTTGATTTTTTGCTGCTTTCTTCTCAGTCCAACAATTTTAATCCCTTACGCCGGCCTCCTGGGTGTGTCATCATTAATCATCACCAATATTGAGGAGGCACTTAACTTCACATTCTATTGTGTTCGTTCAATCTGTGAGGAGTGAAAATGGTGTATTTCAGTGTGAACTTATTTTGTTGCTATTCCCTCCGTAGCCTTTGATTTATCTTCTTCTTCTCTCGTGTTGTTTTTTCTTTTTCTGCTATAAACTCACACACACACACATGCAACACACTACAACCTTTGAGTTTATTTCTTTGTGTGTATGTATGTGGGTGATACAGGCAATAACTAATCGGCTTTGTGAGACTGTGCTTACAACTGCAGAATGTATGTTTTTGTTTTGGCTTTTAAATCGATGATTGTCTTAGTATGACATGTGTTTGTGTATGTGTGTGAGAGAGAGTGTGCGCCGTTGCCTGTATCGTCGTCCTCCTATAATCTACATTATTAGTTAACTGTTGTTACTCTTAGGGACAATCTACATTTCTTCTGTGCATATATATAGGTGTATAACAATTTTGCTCTCTTTCCTTTTTCTATCCATTGTCCGTCACTTGCTACATGGTTGTTTACACACACACACATACACGTGCACACATGTACTCCTCTCTCTTTTTTCTCTGTATGTCCACTTTAATTTCATTGTGTTGTCGAAATATCTATTCTTCAGTTTATCATAAATAACACCACCGCCTCACGAAATACTGCGGTTCCGAAGGTGTTGATATTGCCTATCTTGTTTCCCTCTGTGTTTGTGTGTGCGTATGGGTTGTTACTCCTCATCTCTCACTCTCTCTGTCTAATCGTCATTGTTTCACACTATGTTCACTTCGTTTTTATTATTATTATTGTTATTATTAAATCAATTCTCAATAAATAAATCCTGATACGAATTTTTTTTTAATAATTAGTCTTTTCTTTTCATGTTTATTGTGTAATATATATCCCTCCGTGTTTATCTTTGTTTTTTTTAAACACTAAATTCACTTCTGCTTTACGCCTAACTTTGTGTTGTTTTTTTTTAATATATACGTATTACAAATTATGTAAAAGTTTTCCGAAATAGGAAAAAAAGGAAACATTTTATTTGAAAAAAAAGAAAGTGGAGAATAGACGTTTAAAAATTAACCACACGCACACACACACTAGATAGATAGACAAAGAACGAATTCATGTCTGCGTGTTTTGTTTTTTGTCACGTAGTATATATATATATATATATATATATATATATATATTATTACCCGATAAACCCATAAACACACACACTGACTCACTCATTACACCAGACATTATTGATTAACTACTGTTGTTGTAATACTAAAAATACCAAGAATCAGAAGAGGAAGAAGAAAGAAACGACGACAACAACATCATCTATGCATATATGTTGTTGTCGTGTCCCTTTGGTCACGAGGTGGGGGTGGAGGGTGTATGCAAATGTATGCTACTTTAGATCTTCTAGCATTGTGTTTCTTCTCACCCTGTTGTCTTTACTTGATTTGATTGCATGCTCACAGTTGTGTAAGAATTAACTATCATAATTGTGGATATTTCATCAAATTGCACAGACTCTATCTATCTAGCTATCTATCTCATCTAAATCAAAAAAGATGGTTATTATTGTGTCACTTGTAATGTCACCCTCTGCATTCATTCATTCATTCACCCTTATGCTTTATGATTTTTAACATTCATTGGTCTATTTGTGCATGTATGTGTTAAATTTCGTCTAGGTAATCCTGATCTTGCTCTGTGTTTGTGTCTGTCTGGGTTTCTCTTAAAGATTCCATAGTTTTTTGTCGGTTATTTTTTCTTTTACTTCATTAGGCCAGAATACGTGTATCTTAATTTGTAATCTGTAGATGAAAGTATTTCAAATCATATTGTGTATCATCTGGAAATTTTTTTTTTCAATAATTCTTTTTATTATTATGAATTGATATTTTCAACATGCTGGCTGGCTGGCTGGAATATGACCAGTTAAACTATGCATCTCTTTATCTTTCCTCCCCCCCTCTCTCTCCCTCCTTCTTTTTCATCTCTTTGATTCCTCAGGAGTTTTATGTTTTTTCTTTTTTTGTGATCTGGTTTTCATTATCTTTGGGTGTCTGCCTGTGTGTGTGTGTGTGTAGGTGTAGAGTAGTGTGAGTGAGTGATTGAGTGAGTACAAAATGCGTGTATATCTGTGTGTATTTTGCTGCACTCACACATACTCAAACACACATACGTATATTCTATACAACAGTCGAGCTTTTGGCTCTTCTTTTTACATTGCGCGAATCTCTTTACACATACGAATATATATTTTGTCATTTTAACTCCCTAATATAGTTTAGCGTGTTATAATTATAACAATAAAATTTAATTATTTTTTAATATTATATGTGTATAATGTGGTTCTGATCATTTCATCATCTCTCACATACACACACGTTTTCACGCCCACCTCCACACAACACAAATCTTTTTAGTGTACTTTGAGGATAATATTTAAAAAAGTATAATTTATTTGTTTAAAAAATAGGGAAGAATCTAGTTATCTGTCTTCTTCTGCATTGTTTTTCATTACTTAGTTGATTACATAACACGTTTATTCGTTTGTTGATATATTCATTCATTCTTTCTCTTTTTTGTTTGTTTTTATTTTATTTGTATACTGTGGCGTCTTTAAAAAACAAACAAACTGGTTAGTGTATGTGGTGGCATCGTTTTTTTTGTTTGTATTTTTGTTCTCGTATTTTACTATTCTGTCATGTATTTCCGTTTATCTGCTGCCATCGAGATCGATGCTGCAGCGACCGCTGCCACCGATCCCCACGTTCCCTCTTTACGTTTAGCTCAATCTTCTCGAGACAGATGATGATGATGTGTTGTGTGTGTGTGCGTGCGTGTTATTTTACCTTTTCTTTCTCTCTGTCTGTCTGCCTCTCTCTCTCCCTCACACTTACTTGTGAAACACTGTGTCAAGTTTTCTTTTTATTCATTTTCACCATTTTAATTTGTTTGTAGTACAAATTGTTGAGAAAGATTTAAAGAGAAAAATAAAATATATATGTATACATCCACCTTAGCACCAAAAACTTTGTTTTTTATATATGTATTCTCATGTGTTTTTCCTCCTGGTTTTGGAATTTTCAGCAGTATGCACACTCGCCAGATATCGTCGTCAAGTCACGAGGTGAGTTGGTTGCTGTGACCGTTATTCAGGGCACTTGAGGAGCCCCAATCCAGTCACCCAGTTCGTGGTATTTAACGCGGCTGCCAACTGGCAACGTCATCAGTGAGTAACTGTTCTCTCGTCTGACTTGATGGGTCCAACTTGGGTCACAACCTTCTCACTAGAGAAAACTGCAGATGACTTCTTGTCTCTCTGTCTATCTGTTTTCAACATAGAACTTTGCATCGATGTGCAGCAGTTCAAGTCGCCAGTCTCCATGTAGCACACAAAGCAAGAGAAGAAGGTAGAAGAAATGCATAATAGAGACGGTAAACAGAGGAGTGAGACAAAGGAATAGTAATAACGAAGAATAATATAGTTTAATTGGAAATTATAAGTCACAGGGAGTGGATGCATCTGCAGCATCTATTGAGAACGATTTTAAGCCATATCACCGTCTCGAGGACCTCAACCAGGAAGTCTACATCTTCTTAAGTGGCTGGCTCAAACTAACTGTTGTGAATTTCATTGACTGGTGAATCCATGTTTTGGTTTGACTGCCGCTAGCTCTTTTCCAGCCAGGCCCTATATCAGCTGACATTGCACGTCGTGGAAGCGATGACTAAACATACGTAACATATGTCCTAACTACCTTTCTCAGTCGATGTAATTTCACAGCCTCGTCGACTGATTTCCCCTACTTACCTAGAACTCGACCGAAGCCTCACCTCAATATTGCTCGCCTTATTATACCACCACATCATACGGAGATAGAACGCAGACACCTATGATCGAAGACAGCTAGTCTTTTCATGTCTTCCACTCTCAATGGCCAGGTCTCACAGCCATGGAGGAGGACGGAGCGGACTGATGAGCAGTACACTCACCCTTGGTCGATAGTCGGATATCACGTCTACGGATATCTACGTCTACCTCTTGTATATAAAGTCAGTCACCAGTAAGTAAGCATCTATCTGTAAGGTTCACTTTCAAGTATTGTTTTGCGTTGGTAATGCGTTTTCATATTATAAAGGAAGTTTTCTGTATCGTGGTTAGAGTTTGGTTGTGTGTGTGTTTTTTCGTTAATGTGTTTTCGATTGGTAATACTGGTTCTACTACCTGTAATGCTTTTCTTCTAGGTGCATTAAGTTTAACTTTCTGCTTATTTATAGTGTACGTTCATGCTTGAAAGTTACTATCCGCTTGTATTTAATTATTGATGATATAGGGTAACTAAAATGTAGGTTATTGACTTCAGCAAACTTTAATTTCTTAGCCTTACAGTGACCCCCTTTCTCGAATCCCTCCTCCCAGTGTGAGACCTGTGACAAAGGTTTCAACATAGAATAGTGAAAATCCTTGTGAATTTCACTTTTAGTCATTTAATATCTATCGGAAATAATGGTCAAACATTTGTTCTCTACTGTAAATCATAAAGAAAATGATGTTGTAAAAATTCAGACTGTACCAAACAAAGGACTAGATACAACACACTAGTTACTAGTATCCAATACAGTCTTGCAGGAAAGCGGTCAGTCGCGAACACGTGTATAGCTGAGTGATAACGTCTCTGACTGCAGGCAGTACCGGGTGACACGGGTTCACATCTCAGAAGGGACATGAGTTCGTTGAAGGTTGGTGACTGGTGAGTGCCAACTAACACGAAACCTAGGTCGAGCAAGGCTTCGTGTGGTCAATTGCCTGCAACCATCTAATACCATGTGTCTTGACAGATAGTCATATAAAAGGAGGTATAGACTAGTCTGGTTAGGGGGCTTGCAAATGTTAAGAATCAATAGGTCCTGGAGATTGTTCGTTGTATTGTGATGCAAAACCGTTCTCAGTATTACAGATACCTGTTGACTCTCCGATCTCGTAGGTCCATTAAGTTTACATATTCTTTCATATCGTTATTCGTCTCTACTGTACATTTCCGCATACTGTGGTTAGATTGAGTTTTTTCTCAACTTTTGTGTACTTCATGTAGTGTGAGTCAATCAGATAGGTGTCAACTTTGAAGTATCAGTAAGGACGAACTGATGTTACCTCGTTTTGTTACAATAACTTCTATACAATTTAACATTGCATTCTAAATCAATATTATATAAGTTATGATGTATTACAAGCTTGTAATTGACATGTGAATACTGCGTATATCAATTAGCTAGTCATTCAGCGGTAATCTAACGACAGAAGACAACGGCCAGACAACAAATTGTTTATTGAGATAATCAACAGATATTTATAGATTTTTATGCACATTATTATTCATTATTGTTAACAGAGAAGCAACATCTTCTGATTGGTTGTTTCTCTGCGAAAGGTTATTCTGTCATCTCTCTGTGGCCGTTTCTTAGACAGTCCGTTGATATATCTGCTAATCGCATCCACCCACGCTAAATCTGCTGTGATTGGTTGTTGAGTTCCTCAAGGTTAGGCTTTGTTATTGTTCTTCTATCTCGTGGCATTGACTTAAATTGGTGACTACAGTTTTGATTAGCAGACAGCTTGCACCACATACTGACTGGGACGAATGTTACTACAGGTCTTACCGTACCAATAATAACATTTAAGTAGAAGAGGTTAGATTAAAAGTGGTTACACAACCATAGGGTAAATTGTTTACACTATATTGAAGGACTATGGTTGGAGAGGTACTGTTGTCCAGTGTGAGTGTAATAGGTATTTTCTTCTAAATACCAGTAAGTCACCTATACTGTATTCCAGCTGTGAATAAAGAGTTAGAAAAATTTAGCCCCAAACACTGCATATCCATACCTACCTACCCTGTGGCGGGTCGTAGTTGGTGATGAGGTCTTTGTACTGACAGGTGTCAAGCCGTTTGGTAGTAATAGCCTACACGCTTCCATAATTACATAAAGCTTTCTTTGTTTGTCACTTCTCTTCATCTTTTTACACTGTTCATATAA